TTCATACATCACGCTTCATAGAGAGCGCATTGAACTGAGCAGAGAGGTAGTTTTATCCGGGATTTAAGAAGTATTTTTCAGTCTTTCCTTTACTGTGCCTTTGCAAAAGCTAAGACTTGGGATTGCTTCGTGAATCAAGGATCCACAGATACACATTCGCAATTGTGCAAAATTAATAGACATGTTAATATTTGTAGCTAATGTTATGTTTTGTATCGCTAAATCAGCAGACACCAAACTTTAAGTATCATGGAGAAATGCAAATTAGACAAAAACGAACTAAAAATTCACATTCGAGTCATATGGAACGATTCGAGCTGCCATATTGCCATTGCCATGCAATAAATTTAATGCTCTGTATTCGCTTTTGAGGTATGTTACTTCACGCTTTTTTTGAGGAAAAAGTGTTTTGGCGTAACCGACAATTTATAGCTTAAGTTTCATTTTAATTACCGACTTTAATAAAAATGAATTAAAAGAGAAACACTAAATTCTTGGAAACGAGTCTCGGTGAGCGTGATAGGATGAAAATTTGTTGCACAAATGCAAATATGTTGTGGCAAATTTCCGTTGTTGTGTTGTAGATCAAGATGTACTGTCAAACAAAGACTCCCTAAAAAAATCACCGGGAATCTGTGAACTAAAAATAAATTAATATAGTATAATCTCTATATATAAAAAGGAATTGCTGTTCGTTAGTCTCGCTAAAACTCGAGAACGGCTGGACCGATTTGGCTAATTTTGGTCTTGAATTATTCGTGGAAGTCCAGGGAAGGTTTAAAAGGTGGGAAAATATAAAAAAAGCTCGGAATTATATAAAAACAAACAGTTTTGTTTTTCCTTTGATGTGTATTTTATTTATCGATTGAGGCACTACGAAGTCTGCCGGGTCAGCCGAATAAAAAATAATAATTTTCTATGACATTATTAACTGTGGTGAAGTCTCCTTAAATATAGTCAAAGAAATTCTCAACTCCTGAGCTGATAAAGAGTGATTCATTTGTGTAAAGAAGACGCTAAGATGCGGCTTTAAAACGTTGAACTTCAAAGCGCAGTTCATAGTTCAGTAACCTCTAACATCTACTTACATCAATGAGCCAACCTAATTTCGTTTGAATAATCTGAAATTTATTAAAATCATCCGAGTTGATTTATCTTTTGAGACTGCTTAACGGTTACTCTGTGGTAACTTATAAGGTCAATATCATTTTGACAGTGATTATGATAATTTCACGACGGCTGTCAATTCACGACGTGCCAGTGCTAAGTAGATTCAATAGGATAATCTGTGGATCAGCTGCATCCCGAGCCACGTCAACGCCATTTCGTGTCAATGTCAATTTGACAACGAAAGTGCGTCAAGGTATCGATTTTGAATTCCATTCGATAAATTTATATTCTTATCCATAATCCATAATATAATAATAATATTATAAAGAGGAAAGATTTGTTTGTTTGTTTGTATTGAATTGGCTCCGAAACTACTGATCCGATTTAAAAAATTCTTTCATTGTTGGAAAGCTACGCTATCCCCGGGTGACATAGGCTATATTTATTCTATTTTCAAAAAAGTTAGGGATCCTTACTGAAACTCCAATAATGTAACCTAATGTATAAAAAAACTACCTAAAATTCTTTACATCGCGTTCGCTACTAACCAAGCGAAGCCGGGGCGGGACGCTAGTCCATAATATTTCTATTCGACTCTCTGATTATCAAAAAACTATACAAGGGCAGATAAACGCAAAATAAACATGAAACACACAATTACGAGTACACTGTGTATTAATTGTTTAAAACACGACCACCCTTTTTTTTGTTTTTACAAACATCCAACATTTTATATTCGTAGTAAATCATTTAAAATTACCGATGATTATTTCAAAGATCTCAAAATAAAACTGCGGTCGTACGAAGATAATTAATAAAAAAAAATAAAAAAATATTTTCAAATGTCAAATACAATAAATATGTTTTATTTTACCGAGCGGCAAATAAACGAAAGAAGAAAAGGAATAATCAAAAAAAAAAAAAAAGCAAACATTTTTAAAACACAATCGGATGAAGAAAATACGTGATCGCGAAAAGGTCAAACTCAGAAAGCGGTATCATAACATCTTGCATACATGATCGATGCTTATCGATCGTTATCGTTTATCGATATCGTGTAATCGCTTACGAAACGATACGAATAAATACGATAACACATTCGATGATGATTCATAAACTTTTACATATTGTCTCCTTTTGTATAGAGAATCAAACGAAACAAGAATACAAATTCGAGAACTTAGGATCGTACCATTGGTTCACGAATTGTTTTTTAATGCGAGACGCCTTTATGTGCCTACCCACACAAATATGCGAAAACAAATATATTCAAAACTAGCTGACCCGGCAGACTTCGTAGTGCATCAATCGATAAATAAAAGACCTAAACTTTTGTATAAACTAAAACAAACAAAAGGAATCCGTCCGACGGGGGACACGTCAAAGGAAAAACAAAATTGTTTGTTTTTATTTAATTCCGAGCATTTTCATATTTATCTACCTTTTAAACCTTTTCTGGACTTCTACAAATAATTCAAGACCAAAATCAGCTAAATCGGTTCAGCCGTTCTCGAGTTTTAGCGAGACAAACGAACAGCAATTCATTTTTATATATAGAGAAGATACTTTTTGAACGAGAGTGGACTTGTGTGAACCGATGTTTGTAGTACCCAGTAACAATAGCCGTGGTAACCTAGAGTTGGTAACACCGGAATCACGTCTTAAGTGCTAACCATCCGGTTACGGTTGTGGCTATGACGTTAGGAACGATCGCCATCTACAGATAACTACAATTATGTTTTATAATAAATAAAAGCTTTGTCGCCTTCCTAATGTATACTTTATTTTAGGAAGGAAGGATTACTGGTGGCGAGCACGGACTCAGCCAGGAGAGGTGAGATTTGCTAACAGCTACCCGAGCGCCTCCAGAGAAGACCTAACAACCCAAAAGCAGCTAGCTCCTAATGTGTATTCGCGAAGCAATTTAATTAACCAAAAAAAAAAAACAATAGTACATATAATACATACATTCGTCGTTTTGCAAACATCTGAGAACTGACAATAAAAACAACGAATCGAGGAGAAAGTAATGCGGTAATCATTACGTTTGTTACAATACATTGTTTAACGAATACATCCAAGTAATATTTAAGCAAGATCATGACTGGGAATAAATCACGCACGGTCATCCGGTACTAAATGAGGATACCCTGTGTTATAGATACCAGATACTGACTTCTACTAGATACGTATACAAGTATAGATAATAAGCATCCCAGACAAACAAAAAAAAACAAACGTGTTCACCACACGGATGTTTGCCCGATGTGGAAATCGAACCTACGACCGTCAGCCAACCAACAGTCAGAGGCGCTAACTATTGCGCCGCCTAGTTAGTCTTTTAAATAATAAGACTATTGCTCTCAAAAATGACGAAATGTTGACATACGCCCGATCCTACCTACCGTCCTTCGCACGAAAAGAGTGAAACTTTGGAACTGAGATCTTAGAACTTATATCTCAAGGTGGGTGTTGGCATTTACGTTTGTAGATATCCGTGGGCTCCAGTAACCACTCAACACCAGGTGGGCTGTAAGCTCGTCCACCAATCTAGGCAATAAAAAAAAGAGAAGAGATGCGGATGAAGCACGAGCAAGATTAAACTTGGATAAAAATTTCTTAGACATAATATATCTTTTTTTTAAATTTCCATTATAGGCAAAGAGGTATGTGACTACCTCACCTTAAGCGGTCATGGTCACTTATAGCTGTCATCAATTCCAGGAGCACAGCTAACCCACTGCCCGATGCAAATTATTCCACTAAATCACACTACAATATTAACAGATCGTTTTATATTCTGATTATCTGACAACGTAATTTCCAGGATTTTTTCATTATCAACTCAAAAAAAGAACATAAACATAAAATTTTAAAGTTAAAATTCTAACCATGGCGGTATTCAAATGACAGCAGTCATTTTTCTTCCTTTTTTTTTCTTTCTGTTTAATTTACATATGGTTTATGATTCATAATGAATCGTGCGTAAAACAAAACCGACAGAATCACAAGACCAGTCTGGCGGAAGGCAATCAATAAACTGTTTAATTACATAATATAAAATATACTCAACAGGTGTTCGCTGAAATGAATATTTTATTACAAGAAAACATCGATATAAATTAATTAGGACGTCGGTAAGTTGCCATTACAACTTGGGTTTTTTTTTTTAATTAGTGCGTAAAGACATAATGGCATGCTTATTATTATTATAAGTTTAGTTGTGTGACGCGATTAATCCGTGTAAACCTCACGCTATCTATTGCTAAGAAAATAACATAAATGCAATAAAAATAGAAACTACCTCTTACCTTCTACATCATATAATTCATTTTTAATTGACCTAATTTCAACTTAAAGTTATGCCTATTGTTTACATGATGCAATAAACACAACAGTATCATTAAATTGTACATTCAGATATTACTATACATAATATCATTACGTCATAATTTAATCATATTGATTAATCATTAACATAATTAATGATGATTTTGATTAATTGCAAATGGCGAAAAACGTGCAAGAAGTTTGTATATAAAATGAATATATTTAGTTATATTGCGAGTTGGTACCAGTTGATGCCAGCTCATTACTACTGCGAATCAGTAATGCTCTCCGGTTTTAAGTGTAAAACATGATTAAGTACCATTTTAAGCCGTTATTAAGTACCATTGATATTTAGATATACACTATATGGTATCAATAATCTCCTTTTATCCGAACGAAAAAGATCTTAAGCCTCTGTTCTAACGTTGAATAAAACATTGTTAATAATTTATATTAAAAGATCATAACCGCCCTACAAGTATTCTTGGAGTTATAAAATTTGAAAATACGGGCTTTTTTCGTTTACCTAATCATTATATGTGTACAGGAGGATGGCTTACCTTGTTGTTGAGCGATTGTGTCGTGATGAATGAGCAGAGTATCACGAACGCAGAGAGCCAGTGCGTCGCCACGGAAGACTCCATGATTGTCCTAGAAATAAAGTAAAATAAAACTTATTAAAAGACGCTTTTTTATTACTGTGTTGTGTATAAGACTTTATTTCCAATTTTTTTTTTATTTTATGACGTTTTTTTTTATTAATTATTTTAGTTGTTAAGTACCTACGAATTTTATTAGAAAAATTGGTACTTGCTAGCAGGATTCGAACACCGGTGTATCGCTAGATACGAATGCATCGGACGTCTTATCCTTTAGGTCACGACGACTTCAAGACCAAGACGTCCGATTAACATGACTAATCAAGGACCAAGGAGGATGCAATAATCTCGTAACTTCACTAAAAAGTTTAATCGTTATTTGAATTTACTTTTTTTTTATTAAACTGCTTTCATTTTTAGAATTAAAAATGAAGTTTCGAACAACTTCAACCAGAGCGAGAAACTCAACTAGCTGTTATCAAAACTGGTTTTACGAATAAACGTGAATACTTCCAAACTTCAGAAACAATATAATGACAATAAAAAACGCGCGAAAGCGTAAAAGCACTTTTAATATTATCAACGAGTATTGCGTTGTTTGACCTGGATGTTTAAAAACAATTCAAAGTAGTTATTTATAAGCTGAACAAATCCCTCAAAACACTTACAGTATGTATTTGCGAACCAGATATTGCGAACATAATCTTAAGGGGACGCTACGATTAGAAAAACCTCTTAAAGTATATTTAAAAATAAAACGAGATTATTTAGCAGTATCACATCACGCTACATGACCGCTAATCGACTAATTAACGAAACATTAAATAACCACTACCGATGCTACTCGATCGAATGTACAACTCGATTGAGTTCCGTGAAATCGAGATAAGTTTATTACAATGCCACGTCGAGGCAGTATGCTATCAAACGATCTACGCTTCCGAGGTCCAATACGACTTAATAAAAAAATGCTCATGAACGCGAATGTTATCGTAATTGGACGAACTAAACACGTCTGTAGTATGCTTGTAGCAATCATAAGAATATTTAACTTCAATAATGTTACAATAGATTTCCCACCGCTTTTTGGTTAAACTGTAAAGGTAGCCCAATAAACCCTCACAGACTATGGTGTTATGAGCCTTTGAACTAACTTCAAAGCACAAATGAGGGGACCATTCTTCCAGACCAAACTTAAAACTAAATGATGATTTTCAGATTTCCATAGATAAATACGTTTTTATTACATTAATGGGATAGATATAGTCGACTCGCATCTAGTATATAGTGGCTACCGGAGCCCATGGACATCACAACGTCATGCCGCCAACTTGAGACATGAGGTTGAATTTTCGGTCGTATTGATGGCTGTACGCTGTTCAAAGGGGAACGCAAGACGGCCTGGCGGCAAAAATAAGTCACGTGATAATTTTTGTAGCATTGTTAATCTGTATGAAAAAATAATTTGTTCGCTTAATTTTATTTGTCTATGTTCACGGCTGCGTAAACACTTTTATTCTTCTACTAGCGACCCGCTCTCGCTTCGCTTCGGAAACTGTAATTTATTATTGATTTCTCCACAATTTAATGGATGTTATTATACATATAAACCTTCCTCTTCAATCACTCTATCTATTAAAAAAACCGCATCAAAATCCGTTGCGTAGTTTTGAAGATTTAAGCATACATAGGGACAGACAGATATAGGGACAGAGAAAGCGACTTTGTTTTATACTATGTAGTGATTACTAGATTTAATCATTTTGACTTATGAATATTACAGTCTCATGCATACTAGCAATCGGATTTCAGTGTTCGATAAAATCAATTAATTATGTTATTTTACATAAAAAACGTTATGTTATTTCTTTTTAATAAAAAGTAATTAAAAATACTTCTTATAGTATAAACAAGAACAGAAAGTGAAAACAAAACTATTTCTAACTAGAATCGAATTAAAAGCCTGTGGTATCGATATCGATGGCGGTAATACCATGGAGGTAAGGCCGTATATAAGCTATACGCATATTAATACCTACATGTTCAGCGAAATCGGCATGCAGCCTGAATGCACGCAGCTTCAATCGGAAGTGACGGGGAGTCCGACGATCCGCGTGACCTTCACCCCATCTGATAGCCGAAGCTGTATATAATTTCTCGATAGCGATCTCATATCGAGTTACCCGTGTTAACGAAATATAAACGCCTCAGGGTTTTACCGATTGGCCATTCAATGATTTCGTCAATAACCAAAATAATGATCATCCAAATAAAAACCGTCTAATATCTAATAAAAACCGCCATTCAAAGATTACTTTAAAACATGACTAACATTATATGTTTACATTGTTGTTATCTTAAACAAAATCATAAAAGGCAAAAGACGAAAACACTACAAATGTCAAACGTCAAAAAAAACAACAAAAAGCCCGACGCCCTATCCCTGACGTGCATAGATTAAAAATTTTCCTCTCAGTCCTGCCAACATAAGCATAAACAAACAAACCTCGAACGTTCGGGGTCATTGTACGGGGCAAGTAAGGACAATGTCTCTTCTCAGAAGCGGTATTACGGGACACTAATATTGAGAAGCCTTTTGGTGGAGGAGCCAGACTTCCTGGAGGATATGGGATATTCCTCGAAACATATTACCTATAAAGGAAAATATTAAAAAAAAAACTCTATATGTATAAATGTTATTAGTACATCACATTGATTAATTTGTCAACAATATCCAAGACCAAAAAAAAGTCATTAGATACAATATAGAAACTTAAAATTTTATAACTTATTATTTGTTTCTTAAGCAATCTGATTTACCGTCAAGAGACTTTGTTTAAATATATTCTAAATATTCATAGAAAGTATAAAACATAGCATAGTAACAAAATTTTAGTTGCAAGTTTTAACAAATAAGAAATATAGGTATTGAATTTTGTAAGTCTATTTATTTATTCTTCGTATTTTACTTCAAGTTTTTCATTGCTAAATATCAAGCTCGCTGTCGATTTTCCTACATAATTTACTCAAATAAAAATAGTATAAAAACACTTTAAAAATATTATTTTCATTTAAGCTAATGGAGGACATGTTTTTTTTAATTGCATTCCTTTTACTAAGCGACTTTGGCTTCCGCGTCCGACCTTCGTGAAACAACGACGCGATGGAACACATTTTAAAATTTGCATTCGTATGTACTATTTTCAAATTTCTTTTTCAGCACACGTTTATCAGAGCTGAGATCAAGCTCAACACATTGTTAAGTTCTCAAATTGTGTGTGTGTGTTTGTAAAAACTAATGCGTCGTTTATGGGTGAGTTCGCGTGGACACATACAACTTATCCTGTCTGCTTGTGTTGTAAAACAGCCAGTCATACGTTTCAATATGAAAATTAGGGTGGCCGTTATAATATAATGCAATCGGGACTTCTCTGACAGCGATCACATTAGGATACTTATGGGCTCCCATAACACGTGAGCTGTGGAGTCCTCAAGTCAATCTTACTGTATCAGACCTGAGAGACAATTTAGCAAAATTAAGTTAAAAAAATGTTTTTTTTTAACTTTATTACAGTAACAAACGATCGAGAGCACATGACTAGCTTGATGTTATATGATTTTGTTAAAGCACGACTTCACTTACTGTGCCAAATTGTCCATAAGGCTTGTTCAAAAATCGTCATTGGGTTCGCTGTTCTCTACTGCTATAGCTAGAATTAATGTTTGATTAACGTATTCGCTATCCAAATACTTAAAAATAAAAATATTCGAGAGACATTATTGATAACTGGAAGCATATAAATGTATTGGTCATATTATTGGCCATATTTAACTTGAAAATGCGAAGAAATATCACTAATGCTACGAATGAAATTTCAATCTTAACAGAACGATGTGTTTTAAAAAATGCATAAAAAACGAAGAAACCGTTTTTTTTTTGCCAGTAAAAGAAATATTTATAACATCTTATTTCATTTTTTTTTTTTCTAAATGTAAATCTACGGAATCCATAGTGCATCCTTAATTTTAATTCAACAAATTTCCTAACTGTCAAAACTTTTCCCGCCATTGCATGCCCACATCGCATACTTTACTAAATCATTAATACCAACATAACGAATGCAAAGCAACATAAATAATATTACGTCAAACTGTCCAATTACGAATTCCATTCAGCTTAAGGGCTTCGAAAAAAAAAGGAACGAAATATAATGTATTACGTAAAGAACGGAACACGCAAGTTTCTAACTGTTGTGCTGGTCTTTAGTACCTTGTTAAATCAATTAATCGTTTTTTTGAGCTTCTGTTCATTTGTATAAACTTTATTTATTTATTTTTTCATGTTTATTTGTATAAAGGTTTATGATAAATGATTTGTTTTTTTTTTTTGGACAATGTCAAGGCCCGCGATATAATCTATGCAATAGCTTAAAAACGTATCATTAAATTTTTGGACACTATGTCCCAAAAATTACAACAACACTAATATTTAAAAAAAAAACAATGGCAAACAGGGAGCTATTTACAAGAAAACTTAACTATAGGGGCAAGTGGTTATCATTCCTTCAGCCAATATTTGTATTTGATTGAAATTGTATCATTTGTAAGAAAATACTTGGATTTTTTAAAAGACTAAATGGTAAGTGAGTAAGGTGGAATGACGATCTATGGGTGCTGGCAAGAACTGGATGAGAGAAGCCGAGGATCGTGCTCCGTAGCATAGAATTAGAGAAACCTGAGTCCAGCAGTAAGCTGCTGTAGCCTTATGATTGGGATTAGGAATGGAAAGCGCCATTATCATTTGCTTACCTCTCAATTAAACAGCCTTGTTCTCCGTTAAGATAGTTTTCAATAGTTATATAGTCTGTATATAAAAATTAATTGCTGTTCGTTAGTCTCGCTAAAACTCAAGAAGGGCTGAACCGATTTGACTAATTGTGGTCTTGAATTATTTGTGGAAGTCCAGAGAAGGTTTAAAAGGTAGATAAACATGAAAATGCTCGAAATTAAATAAAAATAACAATTTAGTTTTTCCTTTGATGTATCCCCCGT